ACATGGCCAACTGCGGATTGAGTCCTGGACTTAGCGGCTTGCTTTCTCACTTTCCCTCTCTCTCACTCTGTCCTTCTCTGGTCAAATTAAAAAATAAGTAAATAAGATTAAAATAATTCTTTTAAAAAAAATGAGCAGCAGGTGCATGCCTCTGCCCAGCTGCTCAGCACCCCCAGAGTGAAGTCCTTTGGTATATTTATAAATGGCCCTGCTCTGGAGCCAGAATTGACAATGGAAGGTCATGCTCTTAAGAGGTTTCTGGGTTTTCAAAGTGCCTTATCTGACCTTTGCCCTGAAACATATTCCCTTGGTTAGCTCCTGCCCCACCTTTGGTTCAGACTGGCAGACAGTCACAGAGCTCCACTATGTAGGGGGTGTTTTAGAGGCTCTAACATGCCTATTCCTCTCCAAGGTATTCACAGGAGCCCACGGGCTCCAGGGGAAAAGGCCTGCTTGACTGAGCATCCAGCCTGTTGGAACTTAAAACACTTAGGACAGTCCCCAAATGAAGCGCTTCACCTTGTAAAGTGGCCAGTTCCCCATCTGGAAATTTCTAACTAACCTGGGGTGGTAGTCTAGTGGATATGGTAAAGGGGTCTATGCAACGCAAGGTGAATAGCTTTGGTTCTTCCAGTACAAGACCGATTTCAAGGAGGTTTGTAAAGAGTGTGGGTGGTCAGAGGTAGACTTGACCCCCTGCCCACTTTTGCCTTGCCTGCTGCTCCACAATTCTGCAGGGAGTTGGACCAGTCCTCTGAGGACCACCCCTATGGGGACCAGGCCTCTTGAGGGCTGAGGTCTTCCTGTCACAGGAGCCATCACCTAAGACACCCGCTGCCCTGAGCCATGTGCCCAGACCTGCCTCCGAACCTTACAAAGCAACAGATGCATTCTCACTTTGCTCTTGAAGAATCAGGCCCCGAAAGGCCAACTAGAACTGAAATTGGACCTTGATCTGCCTGGAACCAAAGTTCATGCACACTTGGCTGTTCTGAATGGCCTCGCAACACTCCCTTCTTAAAGTTTTTTTTTTTTTTGAGAGATTTTCACTGTAGGGCGCGTGCGCTCGCCAGACAGACAGAGACAGACATAGAGACAGAAAGCGAGAAATCACCCCCCAGGGGGGATGGTCACGCCACAATCCCTTCTCCTCCATTCTCCTCTCGGGATCTTGGGCACGCACACACACGCGCCCGGCGTGAGTTTTAAGCCACCGGGTCCGGGACACGAGCCGCGGTCGACTACGTGGGAGTCCAGCGACATAGCCATTACGCTAACTGCTGGTTCCCTCCCTTCTTAAAGTTTTAAGACGGTAAAACAAGGGCCTGAAAACTCCTCAACAACCTGTGCTCTGTATGGGCTGTATGTCTCCAGTGGGACTTCTCCCCCATTGGACACAGCACACTGCTGTGCTCTGAGGACACGGCTAAGTCCTCTCATACACGGTCATGCCTGTGTCCTTACCTCCCATTCGGACATAGTGAAACCCTAACTTACTACCCTCATCACTGGGTCCCCTGCCCTCCCAGAGCTTCTCCTGTTGGGACAGATCCCCTCTTCTACTCTCACTGCTTGCTCCTCACCCTGTGTGCTTGTGTTCAAGGGCAAGCTCCTCCCTAGACCTATTCCTGATTTCCATTAACCTGGGGACACTAGTGTATGATGCTGTTCCCCAAAGACTCTGATGATCTCCCCCAGAGAACTTTCAGTTGGATTTCTGAAAATTACATAGTTGCAAAAAAGTAAAAAGCACATTGTTCACAATAGCCAAAAATGTGAAAACACCCCTAATGACCATTGATGGACAAATGAGATGTTTATCCACACAGGACAATGGGATGGTTCTCAGCCTTACAGAAGAAGATTCACTTACTAGACATGGGGGAACCTTGCTGGCATCATGCTCAGTGAGAGAAGCCAGACACGCAAGGCTGAATGCTACAGTCCACTTAGATGAAGTCTCCGGAGTATCAAGTTCACAGGGACAGAGAATGGAATGAAAGGTGGTTGCCAGAGGCTGGGGGTGGGCCGGTAGGATGGGGATTTCCTAACAGAACAGTTCTGTGCCAGGACCTGAGGGCCAACAAGGACTCTAGTTCAGGAAGACAAGCTCAGATCATCGCCTGCTTCCACTCGCTTTGACAATTAACTGTAGAAGTAATAATAACGGAGACTGGGTGGACAAGGGGGAGACTGAAGTCAGGGAATGCCCTGTTAGGGTTGAGTTTAGCAACCTGTACGTAAGCCTTATTTCTATAGAGGACGACTGAAGCCATGAATAGGTACAGTCTCTGCTTCAGAGCTAGTGTAACCTGGTTAACAGATCACTGAATCCTGTCCCTGTCTCAGTAGAAAATGTCTCTTTGGTGAATGGGTGACAAGACATTTTGTTCAAGATGTTTTCCAGGAATTTGAGGTCAGCTCTCTAACCAGCCTAAGCCGGTTCCTGTTGGCTGAGACCCACCTCCCGCTTCTGGGCCTAGATGGGTGAGTGATGGGGTGACCCTTTGAGGTAGATTATGCATTTCTTTGAACACACAATGAATGGCCTGACAGCACCTGATTGTGCACTAACAACTCACCTTTTCTGTCACGGTCACGTTTGCCCACATCCCCAGCTGCCTCCTTTCTGCTCCTTAAACTGTTCCATCCCCCTTCAAGCAGGGAGGTGGCTTTGACTTTTTACTCTTGTCTTCTTGCTGAGCTGCTCTGCCCAGTGAAGTCTTTCCTCCCTGTGGAGGAACATGCCCATTACATGCCCATTTACAACATGCCCATTATTGGCATGTGGCATCAGGCAAGTAACATGGGTTCATTTAACGGTTTCAGTTTGGGCAGATGAGAAAGTTCTGGAGATGGATGATGGTGATGGTTGCATGTCCTTAATGCCACTGAACTGTTCTCACTCTCTCTCTAGTTTGCCAGAAGGCACCTTCACTCAACAGAGGGGGGAGGGAGAGAGAGAAAGGAGAAAGGGAGAGGAAGAAAGTACTACCTTGTGGGCCACAGGTATGCCACAATCCCTTCTCCATTTCTCCATCCTGTTGGGATTTGGGGCACACATGCCTAGCCTGTTTTATTTAAGCTACTGGCACCAGGATTCAGCTGACTAGCCATATGGAATCTAACTCCCTTAACCATTAGGCCATAGGGTAGGTCCAACTGTACTCTTAAAATGTACAGTCATCGGCCACTCTGGGTGCATGAGCATGCGCCCAAAATGCCAAAAGAAGAGAGCTAGAGGGAAGGGATTGTGACATAAGCATTCCCCATCTGGGTTACTCTCACTGTCTCTGGTGGGCGCACATGCCCTCTGGTAATAATAATATAGTCATGTATATCTTACAACAATAAAAAAAGTTAAAGCCAATGGAAAAAGAAGAATGGTATAAAGGGGCTTCCTATTTCTGGTTCCAAATATAATGAGCTTGGAAGCTGTTGCTCCATCCTAAAAAGTAGGCTCTGGAGCCAGGATTGACATCCCAACAGGTAGGAGAACTGAAGGGACTGCAGCATGACCACACCCCACGTAGGGGGCTTCTCTCTCTCTCTGGTGAGCGCACCTGCTCTCTGGCAATTTAAAAAGAAAGATAAGTATTGATGAGCATGTAACGAAATCCAACGATCACACAGTGCTGTTGGGAATGGAAAATGGTACAGTCACTTTGGAAAATGGTTTAGTACTTCCTAAAAACTAAACATAAAATGATGATATGATTCAGCAATTCCATCTCTATGTATCAACCTGAAACATGAAGACATAAAAACCTGTACACCAAAGTTCAAAGCAGCATTATTCACCATAGTCAGCGGAAACTACCCAAGTGCCCACGAACAGAATGGATAAGCATGGGGTCAGTAGGTACCATGGTAGCTAAAGGCTCTGGACTCCCACATGGCTGACCGCAGTTTTCCGGCGGAAAGAGATATCTTAATAAAGCTGTAAATATAGCATTTTTTGTTTTAGAAATAATTAGGACTCCTTCACCAAGGACCCATCAACATGGGCTGCGTTTACAACAAAACCGTGAAGAAGGCGGCCCAGGTCATCATTGAGAAGTAGTACGCGTCTGGGCAGTGACTTCCACATGAACACGCGTGTGTGCGAGGAGCTCGCCGTCATTCCCAGCAAGAAGTTCCGCAACAAGATAGCAGGCTGTCATACATCTCATGAAGCGCATTCACAGAGGCCCTGTGAGAGGCATCCCCGTCAAGCTGCAGGAGGAGCAGCAAGAAAGGAGAGATACTGATGTTCCTGATGTCTCAGCCCTGCATCAGGAAATCACTGAATGGATCCTGACACTGAGGACATGCTGAAGCTTTTGGACTTTGGCAGCCTATCCAACCTGCAGGTCACATAGCCTACAGTTGGAATGAATTTTAAAACCCCATGTGGAGCTGGGACCAGCAGTTAGCGTAATGGCTGTGTCGCTGGACTCCCACGTAGTCGACCACGGTTCACGTCCTGAACCCGGTGGCTTAAAACTCATACCAGGCGCGTGTGCGTGCGTGCCCAAGATCCCGGGAGGAGAAGGGATTGCGGCATGGCCATCCCACCTGGGGGGTGATTTCTCGCTTTCTGTCTCTCTGTCGCTCTCTGTCTGTCTGGCAAGCGCACATGCCCTATAGCAAAAACCTCTCCAAAAAAAAAAAACATGTGGAGCTGTTTGAATCTTTTTGCTATGCTGTAGTATTTTCAATAAACCTGGGATAAAAGAAAGAAAAAGAATGGGGGGGGGTTCTTTTTTGAGAGGTTTTTGCTATAGGGTGCATGAGCTTGCCAGAGAGACAGAGACAGCAAGCAAGAAATCACCCCCCAGGAGAGATGGCCATGCCGCAATCCCTTCTCCTCCCGGGATCTTGGGCACGCACGCACACGCGCCTGGTATGAGTTTTAAGCCACCGGGTTCAGGACGTGAACCGTGGTCGACTACGTGGGAGTCCAGCGACATAGCCATGATGCCAACTGCTGGTCCCAGGGGATTTCAACATTGTCTACTGGGTAGTATTCAGGAGTTATTGCTAATTTTGCTGGGAGTGATAATGGCATTGTGTATGGGTTTTATAGGTCCTCTCAGTAGAAAATGCTTTTCAGGGAAGTCTCTGATATCCAGACCCCCACCCATCAACTGGTGCTTCCTCCCTCCTCTCAACTCCCTGGGGCAACCCAGGACCAAATATACGATGCAGAAGTCATCACACCTTGATGTGGGTAAGTACAAGGCTCAGCCCAGGAATGATGGCAGAACCTTCCAGGCTGTCGCACTGGCAGGGGCTACACACAAAGGAGGAAGGTGGTTTCTTTCCAGGGGAGTGCTGCAAAGGGGAGCTGTTGCACACCAGCAGGTCAGCACGTCACACAGAGGCCACGCGTCGGCAAGGGGGACCTTCCATCTGAATGTGGCACTCGGGCGTCTTCTAGGCACTCCTTGCCTAGCATTGAGTCTTGGGCCAAAGAAAAGTTGGCCAGGGGGAGGTGAGGCACATCACAGACTTGAAACCCTTTGGAGAATGATGTGCAGAGTGGTGGTTCTGTCATGTTTATTCAAGAACATAGTTGAGCAGGTACCCAAAGACACTAAGATTAGTTATTGATTCTGTAATCAAAAGAGCATGTGCACACGTTCTCTGCAACACACCAACCAAAAACTCTCACGTAAGGGACATTTCCCACGCCTTATAAACCAGAGTGGTATCTATGCTCCTTCTCTTTTAGGCCAGATCCCCTCTGGCAGACTGCGTGGACTCAAGCTAGGGACGTGTGGTAGGCTGAACCGCCCCCGCTCCCTGGAACCCATGCCCGTTAACTTACATGGCAAAGACTTTGCAGGTGACTAAGTTAGGGATCTCGAGGTGGGGAGATTTATCCTGGTGGCCCAATACGGTCATAATGGTTGATGAGAGGGAGGCAGGGCTGGGGTTGAAGGAGAAGGCAACATGCCCACAGACGGAGTGATGCACTGCAAGGGGAGGAAGGGGACAAGAGCTGAAGGGTGAGGACGGCTCCAAGGTGCTGAAAAGCTGAAGAACAGGCCCGCCACATGGAGCCTCTGAAGAAGGCAGCCTGTCATCAGCTTGGCTGTGACTGAGTGAGGCTGATTTGAAGCTTCTGACCTCTAGGATGTAAGACACATTTGTGCTGCTGTAAGCCACCAAGTTGTGTCATTTACTACAGCACCAATAGGAAACTAATACAGAGGGCCTGACTTGGGAGTTACTAAGGGACAACAGTGAGATCAGCCTGGGAGGGGGGAGAGGGAGAGAATGAGAGGTAAAGAGGCCCTGACCCAGGGAGGCACAGATGGGAGTGGGGTGAGACAGCCTCCCCGAGCTTAGTGGAGTAGCTGTGCAGAGCCTCGGACCAGCCACAAGGCCTCTGGGACAGACAGAGGCTCTGCACCAGCACACCGGCCCAGGGCCTGTGAACTCGGGCAGAAAGGGTCAGGAGGGCAGTCCTCAACCTTTCAGTTACTGATCACCAATTCTGCTGGGTGAGGCGTCAGCTACAGCCAGAACAAAAATGACCCAAAATGACGTTCTGTCCTTAAACGGCTTTCGTGGTGTGCTGCAGCTTTGGAACCTCAGCACTTCCACACGCTGGGCCAGGCCACCACTGTGGTCTGCCCCGGGCACTGCTGGCTCCTGCTCTGTACCCTCCAGGCCGGCAGCAGTTTCCCTACTTTGGGTCATAACAAAGACGTCTTCAGCCCTTGCCTGTGTCCCCTGGGGCCATGCCCGCTCCCAGCCTGAGCACCCCCAGAGTCTGAGTCCAGCAGGAGGATGACTCACAACCAGGAGAGGCTCACCTGGGGCTTGTTGGGGAGGCTTTGCAGAGTGGGTGACTGGTGACATGGGGGTGGGAGAGGTGGGGCAGGGCCCAAATGCCCCGAGTGAGGGCTCATGGGTGTGCATTTGCCCCTCTGCAGGGCCATCGCCTGATGGGACTGGCAGTGGCTGGGTGACTCCGACATGTGGGAAAAAAGCCCACCATGCCCCCGTGTGCCAAATTTTCTTTAAACCAAGAAATGAGCTGGTGACTCAGAAGTGCATGTGGGCTGGGTGTTAATCTCTACTTTGAGAAAATGGGGTAGGTTTGGATAACTCCTGGGCTTCGTTCTAGGACTGTTAACATTTGATATAAATATATTTTGCATCTTCAGAAATACTGTTGAGGCACAGTTCACATACTGTGAAACTAACCTCCTCACTAGCATCGAGTAAGTGACCGAGCTATGCCATCATCCCCAAATGCAGCTTAGCTCGCCTTCCTGACCCTCCACCCGGTTGGCTCAGCCAAGGCCCAAGTGAGAAGGAGGACAAGAGTGACCCCAGTGGCCTTCCACTCCGTGCAGCAGCTCCCCTGTCCCTGGGCCAGGCCTCAGTGGCCCCGTGGCTCTCCTTTCCCTAAAGCAGAGGTGCTCCGGTGTAAGACCCCAGGTACACGTCACACACGCTTCCCTGGACTTGAGGTGAAAGCACCACCTAATTCCTGGGAAGCCCTCTTCTGCACAACCACTTACTGCCTCTCACGCCTCATTCCTTGTCTCAAACTGCAAAGGACTACAGAGTGTATATCGGAGGCATTTCCTCTCCAGCCAGTTTAACGAGGCGCCGCGCAGGAGCCCCCCGACTGTCTCGCAAGGCTAGGCCCCACTCTGCAGGGGATGCAGCTCTGTCCCGACACCCAGACCCACCAGCTCTTTGCTCCATCACTGGGCACGGTCGGGCCGGGGAGCCTCTCCCGGGGCCTTTCACCAACCTGATTGGCGCTTCCTTCCTCGGGGGTCTCTTGCCTGCCTTTAAGTCACGCAGGGTCTTTGTGATTTCCATGCAAGGAGGCAAAGGAGAACCGCCAGCACCTTTCAGCCTAAGGCCACGGCCACTTCAGTCCCCGTGGTGAAGCCTGTGGTGCTGGTGGAGGTTGGAGCTCTGGCGGAAGCTTTTCCCACACTGGCCGCACTGGTACGGCTTCTCCCCCGTGTGGATCCTCTGGTGCAGCTTCAGGGTGGACTGCCGCCCAAAACAGTTCCCGCACTCCCCGCACGTGTAGGGCCTCTCTCCTGTGTGGACTCTCTTGTGTCTCTTCAGCTCTGAATTCCACGTGAAGCTTTTCCCACAGTCATCGCACTTGTAAGGCTTCTTTGCGGAGTGGGCGGGCTGGTGCGCAGGCCCCAGCCGCTGCGGACGACTGCTCAGGCTTCTCTTGCCTCCTTTGCCTTTCTTCAGCTCTCTAAGCGGGTGAGCTTTCGCCGGGCTGCCGAGGTATTCCAGTTCCCTGCAATGTCTCTGGTGCTGAGCAAATGGCTTTTGAACATCTGGGGGGCTGACTTGCCTCCGTGACACCCGGGGCTCACTCATAGGGACCCCTCTGGGCTCAGGACCCTGTAGCCCATTCCCTCTGGACCTGCCAGCTGACACTGCACAGGGCTTTGCTCCTTTGGCCCCTTCCTGCTGTGGGTTCTCCTTGTTGTCACTTCTCACTCTGGGTGCCTCTACAATTAGAAAGAATATATTTCATTGGAGTGGGAAGAAAGAACCTTAGCAGAAGTTATGAAATACTCTTTGATGTTTCCCGAAGTGGGGCCCTCCCCTGACTCATCCAGGTGCTTGTTAGACAGGCTGGCTCCCTGTCCTGACCCTAAAGCTGCTGAGTCAGAATCTCCAGGGATTGGGCCAAGAAATCTGCACAGTGAATTCTCCTGGGTAATTCTGATGATTATTAAAGTTATGAACCAAGTTTTCCACCAACCACCCTCCTTCTTACCTTCAGAGAAAAGTTAAGAGGAGAAACAGCAAAAAGCAAACCTATCAGAACTGGGCATCAACTTATGACTGAAAGGAGGAGAGCTAAATCTTCACCACCGAGAATTTCACTCACTCCAAACATCCCTCCTTCACAGGCACTATAGAGCCACTGTCTCTTCAAAGCATGGTAAATCCAGAACTGTGATGTTCTTTCATTACGAAGTTGACAGCATGTGTGTTTAGAAACAGGAATATGGGCTAGATGTATATCCAGATTATAGACACCTCACCTTCTGACAACCAGGATCGAGGAGCAGGATGGAAATGAGCTGGACTGGGCTGCAGACAAGTTGGCGGATGGGAACAGCACCATCCAGTAGGGCTTCTAGTGAGGTGAAAAACATGCGTGTGCATATATGTGTGAATATGCAGTATTCAATATGGCAGCTGCTTGCCACATGGGAATGTGACTGAGTGCTTGAAAAGCGGCTGTGACTGAAAAACTCCAAGTTCAACTGCTTAATTTTAATTAATTTAAAATCAAATTTAAATAAGTAGTCCTTACAATTATGGTGAACTGATTTTCAACAAGGTTCTTGAGGGACCAGCAGTTAGTGTAATGGCTATGTCGCTGGACTCCCATGTTGTCGACCGCGGTTCGCATCCCGGACCCAGTGGCTTAAAACTCATGCCAGGTGCTTGTGCATGCGTGCCCAGGATCCCAAGAGAAGAAGGGATTGCGGCGTGGCCATCCCCCTGGGGGGTGGTTTCTCGCTTTCTATCTCTCTCTCTGTCTGTCTGGTGAGCGCATGCGCCCTAAAGCAAAAACCTTCCCTTCATCCCCCCAGAAAAAAACAAGGTTCTCAAGACAATTCAATGGGGGTAAAATAGTCTTTTCAATAAATGATTCTGGGAAAATTGTGTTTCTGAATGCAAAAGAATGAAATTGGGCCCTGTAACAGTCTGAGTATGACCCCCACCAAATTCCTGTGTTGGAACTTAATCTCCAATGCAGTGGTGGTTAGGTTAAGATGGTGGTACTCTCATGAATGGGGTTAGTGCCCTTATAAAAGAAGCCTGATGAGGGATAACAGGTAGCACGGTGCTTAAGGCACTGGACTCCCACATGGTCAACTGTGGTTTGAGTCCCAGACTTGGTGGCTTGAAACTCATACCAGGCACATGTGCATGTATGCCCAAAATCCTGAGAGGAGAATGGAGGAGAAGCGATTACGTGTGGTCATCACCCCTCAGAGGTGATTCCTCACTTTCCCTCTCTTCATCTCTTTCTCTCTCTCAACCAAGTGCATACACCCTATGACAACAACCTAAAAAAAGTTTTTTGTTTTAAATAAAAAATAAGAGGCCTGAGGGAGCTTCATTGTCCCTTTTGCCCCTCTTTCGTGTGAGGACATACAGTCAGTGCCATCTCTGAGAAACAGGCCTTCATGGACACACTGGCACCATGATCTAGAACTTTCCAGCCTACGAGCAATCAATTTCTGTTGTTTGTAAATTACCCAGTCTAAGGTATTCTCTTTGTAGCATCTGGAACAATGGCACCCAGACCCACAAGGCTCACCACACATGAGCAGGGCCTGGGGAAGGCTCTCGCAGGTTCCGCTCAATGTGCACCTCATTCCGCAGGGGCTTCTCGCCTTCCTTGTATGTCATGCAGACTCAACATAGACCCCCGCCCTTCATACCAAGATACAATAATTAATACAACAGTAACACAAAAGTAATATAAAAATTAACTCAAAATGAACCAAAGTTCTAATTGTAAAAGCTAAACTTACCTCTTTTAAAGAAAACAGTATTTATAAATCTCTATGACATTGCATTAGACAATGGTATTTTATCCTTAAAAAAATTTTTTTTTTTAGGTTTTTGCCATAGGGCATATGTGCTCACCAAAGAGACAGAGGGAAAATGAGAAATCACCCCAGGGGGATGGCCATACCCCAACTCCTTCTCTTCCATTTTCCTCGTGGGATCTTGGGCATGCATGCACACATGCCCAGTGTGATTTTCAAGCTACCAGGTCAGGGACTCAAACTGCAGTCAGTCGTCACTCTTATCTTTTTTTTTTTTTTTTTTTTTGAGAGGTTTTTGCTATAGGGCGCGTGCGCTCACCAGACAGACAGAGAGAGAGAGATAGAAAGCGAGAAATCACCCCCTAGAGGGGATGGCCACGCCGCAATCCCTTCTCCTCCATTCTCCTCTCGGGATCTTGGGCACGCATGCACATGTGCCCGGCATGAATTTAAGCCACTGGGTCCGGGACTTGAACCGTGGTCAACTACATGGGAGTCCAGTGACATAGCCATTACACTAACTGCTGGTCCCTCACTCTATCCTTTTTCAAAAAAAGATTCCAGAGAGCACATGTGCTCACCAGAGGGAAATGGACAGGAAGAGAAAATACCCACCAATGGGGTGTAGTCACACCACAACCCCTCCTCCATTTCTCCAATCTGTCAAGATTTCGGGAATGCACACAAATGCGCCCAGTATACTTTTCAATCTGCTGGGTGGGACTAGGTTCTGAGCCATGGTTGGCCATGTAGGATCCTGCTCCCTTAACCACTAGGCTATGGGGCCAGCCCACAATGGTATTTTTAAAGAGAACACCAAAAGCACAAGGACATAAATTAAAAATGGATACGTCAGATCGACCTAAAAGAAAATCAGGGGCTAGACAGTGGTATAGTGACAAAACATGATGCTCTACGAGGTTGACCTACATGGGAAAGTCCCAAGTTCATGTAGAAGACCTCTCTGGGTACGCCAGGTGCACATGGCATGCCAATGATCTAGGGTCATCTGAACCAACTTCTGCTGGCATCCTGATCTCAGATCTCCCAGCCTCCAGTGGTGCGGGGAGTAAATTTCTGTGGTGTATGAGCCAGCTAGAAAATAGCCACCTAGTAGCAAATATTAAGGAAACAAGGTTCCAGTCTTCTTGGAGTTCTCTCTCTAACCTGCTGACTTCATCCTGCAGTCACAGCACCTGAACTGGCCGAGTGTCGCTGTCATTCAGTCTCAGAGACGGCAGGACAGTGGAGCAGAGGGCCAGCAAACACACTGGCATTGCACAAGAGATTGATAAGGAAACAGACGCAAGGCTTTAAAATACAAACAAATATCACAGAGGAAAAGGAATTGAAATGGTATGGAGTGGGGCTTTTCCCTTCTAAAAGTGGGTCCACTTAGGGACCAGTAGGTGGCATGATGGTTTAGGCACTGGACACTCCCACATGGCCAATCATGGTTTGAGTCCCGCACCTGGTGGCTTGCTTTCTCACTTCCCCTGCCCTCTCTCTTTGTGTCTCTCTAGTCAAATTATAATAAATGAATGGATAAATAAAATAAAATAATTCTTTTTAAAAAATTTTTAAAAATTGGGTCCAATTAAATAAAGGAATGAAACTAAGCATAGTTTGTGTGGAAGTTCATCAGTGGTCATGTCTAGATGTGTCTTCAATATAAGAAGCTCTAGAAGGGGCAGAAAAATAGGCACTAGAATCCCATCATGTACTGGATTTTCAAATGCTCATTAAGAGAAAATGGTAAAAACATACTTCTTACTTATAGTATCACAATCATCCTAACCAATAACTTTTGAAAAGGAGATAAACATCTATTAGTACTTAAGGAATTTAAAAGGAAAAAATCATACACACACCTGGTCTGTGCCTTTGCAGAACTGAGGTGCTTTGGAGGAGATAAGGAGCTGATGAGAGGGAGAGAAGAGGCACGGAGTGCTTACCTGTCCCGGCCAACTTGGGGGTCGGTTCTTGGAGGAGCGAGGATTTCTCCCAATGGTGAGTGCTCAGCTGGTCATGAGATCCTGCCTGGGAACCCTCTTCCAGGGAGGTCTCCCTGAGATCCTTCCCCGGAGTTTGCAGTTGAAAGTCTGGCAGTTCCCGTTCTCCAAGCTGAGATCCAGTTTTCTCCAAGAGCACCTTCTGCCCCTGCATACAAACGGCCACCTAGGAGCAAGCCCCATCCATTAGTGCTCTGGCCAGCAGGGCCAGTCAGGGCCATTACCTTTACCTTTCTTGTATGTTCTGTAATGACCCCTTTATCTTCACTGGAGACCACTGAACCCCTCCTGGGAAGCAAGGAAAGTGCATGCACAACGACAAGAATGAGCCTCCTTCAAGTGAGCCAAACTGCTCAATGGCTGCCCCTAAAGCTTAGTGGGGATTTTAGGGGTATGTGTGTGTGTGGACTTTTTGTAGACAGTGTCTCACAATGTCACAATCATCCTGCTTCAGCTTCCCAAGAACCTAGGACCACAGACAAGTGCCACTGTTTTCAGCTCTGTAGGGTGAATGGAGAACTGAACCTGGGCCTCCCATGTGGCCTCAGCCTGCCAAGCAGTTTTTAATCCAAGACTGAGTCTTTTTCTAGGCCTGAAGTCAAAGTCATCAGAAGAGAGGTGGTACAAATACTGGGATCAGCCATGACACTGGCCATGAGATTCCCACCCTATACCCAAACCCTCTCCCTACTGCTGGAAACAGGCCCTACATGAAGAAACAGGGAGCAGTATGGTGAGGGGCAGTGAGGATCCATTCTGTGAACGATTCTGCCAAAGGTTCTCCTGCTGAGAAGATCCCTAGTCATGGGGATCTGTGCAGACTGTCCCACCCCAGATTCTGCTTTCCAAAGGACATGGCTGCTGCCTGCTTGGATCCTGACTGGCATCTGACTTGGGAACAGGCTGAAGGGACAGCAACACTGGCTGGTTGAGCTATCACTTCCTGATCCACACACAATATGCCCATACTTCACTGGAATGATGTTGCTCCAAATCAAATTCCTACCTGACGGATGGCCCTGCTGGCCAAGAATTCTGATTGGAAGAAAACTTCAAGAGGAATGGGCAGAGCAGACTTGATAGCGAGATTCAAGAGCCTTAAGACCATTTCTGGGGACCTGAGACCCGCCAGGGACAGTCAGAACCTTGGCTGGCTACTTCCTCACTGGATGCTGGCAGCTGGGTCTCTGCAAACCTGTTACAACTCGCCAGGATCCATGACAGAAGGTAGAAAGAGGCAACTTTGGAAGCCACCTGTCCATTTCCAGGCTCTAATGATTACCCAGACCAAAAAGAAACCCTGAGGACCAGGAGAGAGGGCCCTCCTTACCCACTGCTTTGGTTTCTTGGATGCTCTGTAAAAATCTTCCACCAGGGTCACAATTTCCTTGCTGCTCACTGGACGGCGATGCCTGACCCGAGACTGGACCTCTGCGGGCAGGATGGTCAGGAACTGCTCCATCACCAGAAGCTCTAGGATCTGCTCCTTGGTGTTCAGCTCGGGCTGCAGCCACTGACGGCAGAGCTGGCGTAGCTGGGAGAGCGCCTCCTGGGGTCCAGAAACCTCTTGGTAACAAAATCGCCGGAAGCTCTGGCGGGAGAGCTCCGGATCTGGGCAGTGTTTTTGAAGAGCAGAAACCCGTTTCTCTTCCGGCTTCGTTATTATGTGTCTTTCCTGCTCGGAAGAAGCCTGAGTGTGGGGACTCAGCGTTATCTCCATCTTAGCAGCCATTCTGGGGCTCAGGAGGCAGCTCGTCTCTCCTTGCAGGTAGGTCAAGCCTTGGGAACCATGGCTCTGGGAAAGCCTCTCCAAATGCTAGCAAGATGCTAGGAATGAAGCTCCTCCGCAGGTGTTAGGGAGGACGGAATACAGAGACAGACCCTTCTCATTTACTAGCCTTTACCCCAAATTCTGAAGACAACACAGACGCCAGGTGTGGGAAGTCTGTCTTTCCGTTGACTTTCTGACCTGTCTTGCAAAGGAAAAATGTCATAACGTCCCAAAAGGACACTGGGGAAAATACTTCTTTTATTTCACTAGTAAGCACACACAAGGTCTTGGACGAAGCGAGCACGACGGTGTACCAGGCTGGCAGAAGAACCCCAGAAGTTCAAGTAGTCTTACACATAGCTTGCACCAACTCTGCTGCATCCGAACTGCAACCGACCTGGGGCATCTCGGTGGGAGCCACAGGGAAAGCACGGGGAGGCTCCGCGAAGCCGGGGTTCCTGAGCTGTCAGCCAACCTTCCGCACCCGCGCGCGGCTGAGATGCTGTTGCAGGCCCAGCGGCGCCAGCCTCGGGGCAGTCGGGCTCGGGCTCCGCGGCCCAGCTAGCCCCGAGCCTGACGACGCTGCAGCACTTCGGTGCGCAGCTCACTATAGGGCGGCCGTGAGTTCGGGGTACCGCCTGCGACACCAAAGTCCTGAGCACCAGGCAACCCGCACACACCTGCTGGGGACTCACCTCTTGGGGGCCGGGGACAGGGATCCCGGGAGCTCGGGCAGGGGGCGGAGCCGAAGCCGCACGGCGCGGAAACGCCCACTAGCTGCCGCAGGTCTACCCCGGGAGGGCCCGCCTCCTCACGTAAGAATCGGCTCTTTGAGGTCACTTATTGGCTGCCGAGTCTGCCAATGTGGCCGCAGTGCATCCTGGGAATTGTAGTCTGAAGCTCGCGAGCACACATCGTGGGCGGCCTGGCTCCCGCTCATACCGCCGACTGCCTGCCGGGCGGCCGGAGTTGGGGGACTCGCAGGTTCTAGTATCCGGCAAGTCCTCCACATCCTCGCGGCCATGGAGCCCTTGCCCCGCGAAGTCTCCTTCGAGACCGTTGGGTCAGGCTCGGTGGGCGCCCCGGTGGACAGGCGGCCCTGCTGCCCTCCTAGCCTGAATGCCCAGCACCCCTCCCGCCTCGACCTTACTTCTCTAGTGAGGCTCTCGCCTGCGTGGGGGAGCCTGCGGGTTTCCCGTTCCGTGTCATCCTCTGTACCCGCCCAGCACTGAGGGGTGTAAACACGCAGTACTTGCGGAGTGGGCAGTGGCCCAGCCCGGCTACCCAGCCTGTCTGCATTTCGCGGAGCGCTGGGCCATCGCTACAGTAAAACGAATTTTTGAAGGACCAGGATTTTAACGCTGAACGATGAGAGGGGACGTGAGACCAGGAGCGGCGCGGGGCTGCCTTCTGCAGAACTGGGATGGCACGGACTGGGCTGTTTCTCAGCCAAAGTACGCGATGGGTACGGGCTCAATTTTGGCCTCGCTGCCCAGGAGCCCGTGGTGATAGGCAGGTCTCTGTCGCTCCTCCTGCTGCTAAAAAGGAGTGTAACGATTTCGCGCTCTCTAGCCCCTCCTGCCGCACTGAATGTAGAAAGTAAAAGTAAACAATTCTTTGGGTAAAAGGCAACCCAAGTCCACAAGTTTATTGATTTTTAATTTGCTAGAGGGCATGTGTGCCACCGGACAGAAAGAGGAAAAGTGAGAAAGCACCCTCCAAGGGGATGGTCGCCCAGCGATCCCTTTTCATCTTTCCCTCCTTTCAGGAATTTGAGCACACATGCACACGTGCCCCACGTGTATCTTATGGCGCTGTGCTGGCCCTAATTATTTTTTTATTATTTTAAATTTCATTTTCTTTTATACAGTCAATCACATTACTTAGCTTACAAAGTGAATATTTCAACATGTGAACATCTCTCCCTAATCCAGTTGACTAAACTACAACTAGCCCTAAATTTTTAGTCTGGTGGGGAAAAAAATTACCACCTTAACCATTTTTACATGTACGGTTCAATAGTGCTAAGTATATTCTCATTGTCCAGTGGCCTGAATTCATTTGAATACTTCCTAGTAAGCTCCTGAATAAAATACAGTACCATCTTACCCATTACAATTACATATGCTTTAATCTGTTTTAAGCAACTAAAACCCAGCTCGAACTAATTATAAATATTGCCTTACATAAATTGGTCAAGACCTTGGTGTACTGGCTTCTTGTTAACGGGCTCACCCTGTGCTGAAGGAGTGGGACAGTAACAGGGGTTCCAGTGTTACACATCTGCCCAATTTAGCAAGTCCCAAGAAATTCAGGACTTCGCCATCCCTCTTGTATGTAAATCTCAGAGAACGGTGATAGGCCCTCCTATGTCACATGCCTGAAGTTGTAAGTAAAACCCTACCAGAGCCGATGTTGAGAAGGTGTCTTTCACAAAGGAAGATGACGTGCAAAATCATATATAGCAAACCACAACAAACACTTATCGTGTGTGTGTATGTGTTGGTGGCGGTAGTGGGGGGAGTGGATCAGTGATGAAGAGGTTAATCAAGAAGCATTTAGGACATACCTGTTGCAGTTAACTTGTCACATTCAACTTTGTATTTGACGAGTAAAAGATTTGAATTAATTGACACATAGAGGGGAATCTTAACTTCTTGATTCAGCATGACTTTTAAAGTAGATGAGATCTGTGGTTACTCATTGTAGAATTGTTGGCACTGTGAAAAAAATCATTGTCATGTTGAGCTCTTCTTTAATTTCTGCAACCATACCACCACAACTGCTTTCTCTCCCTCCCTGGATTAAAAAGAAAAATAAATTAAAAAAAAAAAAAAGAAGTGTACACACACTTTCTCTCCCTAAGAAAAAGTGGCAACTGGGAAGGTGAGTCCAAGCTTCTGGAGAATAGGGAAGGATAGGTAAAAGACCCTGGTCAGTGGGGGATGCAGAGGAACGAGTGGGTGACACTGAGGAACTGCTGGGTAATCTGTTAGCAAGTACAGAAACTTGGCTGAGGAGCAAACTTTTTTTTTAACGCCTTTACTGTTTGGGACCCTTGGCTTGGACTTGGGGAAGATCCTAAGCTGCAGGGTGAAGGATGTGGGATGGGTTGGTGCTGTTTCCATCTTCTGCAGCCTCCCTTCAAAGATGAGCTTTTTCTTTCAACAGAGGGTCTACATATCTGTGACACACATTCCCCTCATGTTCCAAGGAGACCCTCCTAGAACATGGCTTCCTGGTGATTTGAGGAGAGATGGAATCTGACCCCCAGGGTAGCAGTGGCAACCAGAGCAATTCAGTGGAATAAATGAGTTTGAGTCCCAGACTCAGACTTGAAAGTCACGGTGGGTTCGTGTGCTTACATGCCCAAAATCCTGATAGGAGAATGAAGGGATTGCAGCATGGCCATCTCCCCTAGGGAGTGATGCTCGCTTTCTGTTTGTCTCTCCAGCGTGTGCACAAGCCGTATAGTGAAAATCTCTAAATAAATAAAGATAAATAAAGACCTACTTTGTGATTTCAGTGTATTTGGCTCTCAATTCTGCATAAACATTTGTGTTTCATCTTGGTACAGAGACTAACAGAACTTGACCTCCATGATGGCAGGCTTCATGTCATAGAAACATCAATCAGTACTGCTCAGAAAGCAGCACTGCAAGCGCTCGATGAGTGTTGGCAGAACTGCATACAAAGGAGGGCTCACTCTAACTGCTGGGTTGAAAACAGATGGTAGGAGGTCCACAGTGGAAACGAGAAGTCCAGAGCAGCATACGAGGGAGGCACATGGATCCTATAACCAGTCTTCCCTCCCCTGAATCTCTGTTGCCTTCTATGTCTCACCTCACACCCTGTCCTCTTATGTGGCCACCTTTAGGGAGTCCCACAACTGCCATTACCCTTGTCCATCACCTCTCCAGGGGAAGTAAGTGGGACTCAGGCTAATTACAAGGCAGCTTTAACCGGTAACTCTGCAAGTCCTCTGTTGGAGAATGTCTTTTCTATTATACTAAAAGGCATATGTTCTAGGAAAAACGGCTTCAGTGAGACACCTTTTAGGAATTGCAACACAGGTTGATAAACTAGGATGTAACTCCTTAGCTGCTAAAGCCCTGCCTGTAGTATATGAAGTCCTCCTGATCTTAGTGCAGTGTTCTTTGTCCCTGGCAGCAGGTGTGCACCAGGGCTACAAAGAGACCAAGACTCTCCTGGCCATTCTCCATAGTTCTTTGTTTTTTTGAAAAAACCTAGGCCCACCAGTGGAGCAGCCAGATCTACAGGGCCATTGTGGAACAATGCCCAGAGCAGGGTTTTCTGCAGATCCCAGAGCAGTGTCGCACCAAGTTCAAGAGTCTACACTCCAGTTTCCACAGTGAGGAGGGACTGTATACCTGAGCCTGGCAAATTCTATAAGGAAATGGATGCTCCTGCAAGCTCCTAAACTCTACATCTCCTATGGCAACTAATGCTGTTCCTGGTCAAGAAGGAGGTCATACTGAGAATGGGGGGACCACAGAATTGGCAGAAGATGGCTCTGTGGATGGGATACACAGTGGTGAACAGGATGTTAAAAACACTAGCCAGAAAATCAGGAGACCTGACCTGCCAGTCCTGTTCCCCAAAGGGCTTGGTAAGACTCTCTTGGCTCTGATGGTCAGGGGATGGTAAAGTCCACTAATAGGCCAGTGGCCTAGGCATCAGTTGAGAGGGAGCTGTCACTGCTCCTAGCTTTGCCATCTGGATGTGTGGGCTGATACAGGCCAGAAGTCTTGGTTTTCATGGTGTTTAAGGACTATTCCTCCTTGCATTTTAGAGCCCTGATTTTACATTTGAGTTTAGAGTTGTCAACTTCTCCATAAAGTTCTTCTACTCTGTGTTCTCAGGTTACTAGTTAGGCCTCCAGGCCAGACTTCATCTTCTCCTTCCTTCTCCATAATGGCTA